CGAAAAATTGCAGTTCAAATGCATTCTGAAAAAAGTGAAAATCATATTTATTGACTATAGTGTCATACTGTTAAAATTTAGTAGCATAATGTTATTTAAAGATCTGTTTAAGAAATTATGAAAGAAAAAATAAATTAAAACTACATTTTCAGGTAGACTGACTATATGGAGAAATTTTATTATTTACTTATTTTATTTTTGTCTAACCTGCAAGGAGAATCGTTGAGCGAAGTATTTTTGAAGAAATGGAAGGAATTTTTGGTGTAAATTGAAGTGTATTATAAAAGCATTTTTTTGTTGTTGTTTTGGGCCAGACAAAAATGTTCTCCATCTTAAATCACTTAAAAATGCAGGATTTAAAATTTTTTGTTTTAGTACATATATTCTTTTTTGTTTCGTATGTTAGTTCGTTTAAATGTTTGAAATTTTGATGGGTGATAATCTTTATCTACAAGGATTAGAATTGAAGATCAAATTAGAAATCTTTATCTACCAAGAATAGCTTTCTCATCAATAATTTATGAGAATCAATGAATATCAATAATTAAACCTGTGTTAGTGAAGGAAATAAAATAAAAACATCAAACAATGGATGTTTTTTAGGTAATAAATCATTCTACAGCAATAGATCAAACGTGTGAAGAAAATTTAAATTAAAAAGGTTAATTCAGCAGGATGACACAACTAAAGTGGAAAATTTAAAACTTCAAACATAGTTTATTTTTTTCTTAATAGAAATTAATATTTTTTCATACATAAATTACTAATAATACATTTATCAAATTTTTCACTCAAATTTGAACAGTTTAATTTATTTCTGAACATTGTGCTCATTTCTAAATATATTGACGAAAAATTGATAGTGAAAAGAGAAAAACAAATAATTTTTTCCCCTCATTATGAAATAAATTACAATTTTTGTTAATGATCCTAATTGTCCATTTCTAAAAGTGTTCAATCTATTTTCAGTATTATCGAGAATGGCTTGACTTTTTCTATAGTTAGTTGCTATGGAAGGGACTGGATTAAACATTTAGCAAATGGTGTTGAAGTCATAGGCTAATTGAGAAATGGGGCTCTTTGCAAATGTCGCCATTTCATTTGAATGCACAAAGCTTAAATTAGCTTACAACATTCAGGTTAGATTAGAAAATTAAAACAATTATACAATTTAAAAAAAAATAAATAAAAATGTTGCATTTTAATTGGAAAAAATATTTTTATTTCATAAAAATTTATATTAACTGCATAATTTATATAAATTTGGACATTTTAAAGGAAACAAAGATAAAATAAAAACTTTTTTTGTTCACATTTTCCTCTCAAAAGCTGAAAAGGCAAAATTACAGAATTTATTAAGATGGAAAAAAAGTGCTTTAAATGTAAGTAAAAATTTATGTATGGTTTTGTGAAAAAGAAAATAACTTTTTAAGCAAATACTCAAATACAAATTAAAAAAAAAAAAAAAAACANAAATACAAATTAAAAAAAAAAAAAGGAAAAACATTAATAAACTATTTTTTTCTTTAAGTATTTTCATGTTAGGTAAGATAGTATAAGAATTGTCCAACAATGACTTACTTCTGTATATGAAAGTTTTTTATTTAGCAACAAGGAATAGAAAAAATAATAATAAAATAAAATATAAAAATACTTAAACAGCTGTAATTTCTGTAACAGTAATACTCTAAAAACTTGAAGATGGAAACTTTAAAAATTAGATTTAGCAGTGGTATTTATAAACTTACCCTTCTTTCTTCATAATTTAAATACAACCATAAAATTAGGCTAGATGTTATTAAAATAAATTAAAACTTATTATAAGTGATCAAGTAAACAAAAACTATTCTTTGAATTTTTTAAATCTTATACTGAACTCAGTTTGTAGTACAACCTGTGGTTGGCAGAGTAAGTTTCACATAGAGAATTGCATAAATTACGTTGTTCCAAAGGTTTTGGCATAAATAAAATAATACTTTTCAGTAAATAATATGTTATTTTTATAATTCCTGTGTATATGTAACAGTTATTTGTAACTGAACATAACTGTTAAAGTTATGATTTGTCCCTTCTATTTTTCTTTTCAAAAATTGTCAGCAAATTATTCAATTAAGCAAAAAGTTAGCTTTATAATTTATTAGGAATTATGGTACATTTATGCAAACAATATATGTATGATTTGAAGCATAATTTGAAGATACGAAATGAAATATGCATTGAAAATACAATTGCACATGTCAAAAGACAAATTGAAATTTCAAAGAAAGACTTAATATGGCATTATCATACTAAAAAGTATTATATATCACATTACTACTTTCAATTATATCACACTATTGCAAGAAACTAAATTTCCAATGCAAAGAAACACTGCTGATCAAACTTCACTCATGTAATTGCATAGGTTTTACTTGTAATGGGGTTAAAAAAAAATTATTTTGCAATGCAATCGGATGAAAAATTTTCAAATGAATAAATGCCAGACTAGCTAGATTTTCAGTGATAGAAATATTAAGAATTAAAATTCAAGAATAATATTGCTATAAAATAAATTTTTAGATAAGCACAAGAAAAAAAGGAACCATTGTACATGTAAACAATATGCAATTTTTTTTCTAAAGCTTAATAATATCGTATTAAAATTTTAACTCATTTAAGCAACAGAATATTTTAAGCCTATAGTTTGTCTAGCGAAAGAACTCCCCTCACACACAGTCTAAAGCTGTGTGCTGCTACGAAAACAAGAAAAAGGGCATTTTAAAGTGGAAAGCTTCTCTCTCTTTCCAGATTCCTTTTCCCTCATCGACCCCAACCGAAATCTATCTTAAATATTGACCTAACTACTTGAAATAGTTAAATCTCATTACCATAGTCACGCCACAGCAACAGATGAATGGTGAGGGGAGTTCTTCCCATTGACAGACTATACTTATGCTGCAAAAATGAGAGATAGTAAAAGTATGGCGTATAAGCAGCTTGAAAAATCCTGCTCCTTGCAAAGATTGCCTTTAATTTACAATCAGCCAGGATAGTTGGAAAGGCTTCAGTATTTTTGATTAAGCCTGGTAATTTTTAGGCTCATTACAATCTGTCTATATAACTTTAAGCTAAGTAGAAAATATGTGAACAATTAATTTACCCGCCTGAATTTACTTTGGCGCATTTTAATGAGCCTTGTTCTTTGAATTTAGAAGTATGATGAATCAGGGATTTATTACTAATAAAGGTATAAGAAAGTAAGAGAAATATATTTGTAGAATAAATCAGGTCACGCATGCAAAATATATATTCTCTAACTATTTTAGAGGTAAATGAACTCTTTGCAATAAGTCTAAAAACTGTCAGACTGATTGGAAAATACTAAAGACTAGTTCAATTAGCCTAGCGCAACAGAAATCAGTTTCCTTAATAAGCCGACAATAGATTTGCAGGGTTATTTTTACATAATACCATTCAAATTGGTTTATACATCTTTAAAAAGGTTACTTCATTTTATGTTTCTGTCAACAATTTTAAACATTTTGATTGTTTTGTCACACAATATTTTATCAGGTTTCACTAAAAATCATACATTAGTGAAAAAGTCGAAACTTTTGCATCAAAGTGAGGATAAGTTAAAATTTCAAAGCCTGTTTAGGAGTTAAAAGTTTCAATTGAGATTTATACAATTTTAAAAAGGTTACTTGTTTTTTACAGTGCTAATTTCATTAAAAATTATTAAGCATTTTGATTGTTATCACATTTCAATATTTTATGCCTACAAAGTGAGCATAAGTCGAAATTTTAATATGTGTTTAAAGGTTACCTCATCAACAAATTAGTGAAAAATTATATCAGGACTACAAATATTATAATATAAAGAAGTTTTTAGATTTGTTTCGTAATTTTCATGAATTATTTTTTCCAAAAAAATTTTTTTTTTAACATTTTCTTACTTTAAATTGGGTATAACTTTTTAAATAATGAATTGTACAAATAGATAGTGATCAATATACATTTAGCTACTATTATAGTAATTTCATTCCAAACTATGTGAATAGAATTTTAAATGATTTAATGTCTTAAATAAATTTACCTTTTTACTATAAGCAACTTTTTCAAATTTTATCTTTTGTCACATTACGCAATTTCAATAATAATATATTATAAATTCCAAAACATTTAAATTTAAAACAACTTTAAAAAAAGTAAGTTAAAAAATTTAAAAAAACAAATTTATACAAACTAAAAATTATTCATAAAATACAATTTCAAAAACTATAAAAAATGATCCTTATAATAGATTATCTCTGAAATTAAATAAAAAAGTAATTAAATAGAAGGAAAAACGATTGAAAAAACTAAAAAACCAAAATTAGTTGCCGGGTGGATTTGTTTCCATATTTACAGTGGTAATAAAATTTATGTTTTAATATTTAATTTTTTTAATAAATTTGATTTAACATGATTTTAATTGTCATTATATATATATATATATATATAATTCAAACACGTATACAGATGATTTGGCAATTATTTGTTGAGGTTCTGAGGTGGTAATGAAATTAAGAAAAATAAAGTAACTGCTAATAGTCACGAATGTAAAGTCCTCACCATCAGAGAAAACTTTATCTTAAAAGAGCAATGATAGTTAAAAATGCTTAGTTGAATAAAAAATATATGCTACATTATTTCAAATTATACTCGTAATATCAGCAAATGAAAATTATGGAATACATATATAAGTTAAAATTTCAATGTTAAGATTATTTTTCAATTCTTTCTTAGTTTAAAATTAGTGTAAGTAAAAAAAGAAGATATTTTTAGACAAGTAGCAAAGAAAGAAAAAAAGTTGTTTTTAATGTATTGACAAAGAAAGAATTGAAATACATAGTATAAAGAACAAATGAAATGAGTATAGAGAATAAATGAAATAGTTTAGTATTAATGATGAACTCTTTCGTAGTTAATTTTTCGGAAAAACAGTTTTAGATTGAAATGCAAAATGAATTCTAGTAAAATATTTGTACAATTTATAAACCTATGTTATAGTTAACAAGTTATGTTAAAACGCTTCCCTTAAAATATTGCAGCAATATACACATACATATTCTTAAAGATGCTTTATTTATTTTGAATAAAACTGAATTTATTAATATTACATAAACATGTACAAATAAATAGTATGAATAAATAAGTAATAACAATAGCTACTAATTTAAAGCCACTATTCAAATAACTGTATACAACAGATTTGTTAAGATTTACGATTAAGATATAATGGAGGAAATAAAAAAAGCGGAACAACTTTATAACCTGTACACATATTAAGATGCAACATAAAAATAGTTTAAAGAGCTAAATTTAAATATGATTAATTTGTGCAGATGATGTTTCAAGTCATGAAATCAGACAAAAATATCGATCTTTCTTTAAATAAACTAACACTTTTTAAAATGTATTTGAATTTTTGAACCTCAAAATAAGGGGGGGGGGGGTTAGTTGCTATCTGGAAAATATGATCTCCATAGTTAAATAAATCAGAAGAACAGCCAAAAGTTAGGGAAATTTATTGTTGGTTACACTTTTTGTGTGTTTTATCATATCTTTTGAACTAAAAACATTTTTGCACATAATTATAAAACCTTTTTCACAAAAATAATTTCATGTAATGCTTTACCAATTTGATTAATGTAATTTTCTCTGATTGTAAAAAAAAAGGTATGTTTATTTAGATAAAATATGTTTTAAGGTCTGATTTTGTAAATTAAAATATTGCCTACATTAACAAATTCGAAGCCAATTTATCAAACTATCAAGATTGTATCTTAAAATATGACATGTAGAATGAAAAGTTATTAAGTTGTTTTGTTTTTATTCTGAGTATTGCACTTATAAACAATATACAATTTTTTTTTGTTAAAACTTAACATTATAGTAAAATATTCACACATTTAATCAACAGAATTGAAGTTAAAATCTACATAACAGAATATAATAAAAATATGTCACATGCTAATAAATATAGATGCATGATAAGAGGACATAAAAACAATGATATGTACTTGTAATATTTTAGTCTTAAAAATCTTGTCCTGCCCAATAAGGTACCTACAAAATAAAAAAAAGTAATTGTTTATGTAAAATTTTTGAGCAAGTGGAGCAACATTTTTTTATTTTTAATAAAATTTCTTCCCTTGTATTAAATATTTTTATAACAAATGTTTTATTTTTCTAATTTTTCAGAGCTTTGTTTTCCATCTCCCATCAAGTTTGAATAACAAATTGAGTGAAGCTAACTAAAAAATTCCAAAATTTTCAAATCGTTACAAAGCTAATGCTGAACTAGATCAGTAACTTAGGTACATGTGACGTATCAGGCTGTCTCATAATGTGTCAAATGTAAGCAAAGCAAAATGTCTTCTTTCAGATTCGTAATGCCCTAAACGTAAACAATGGTTGAAGCTGCCTGCTACGCTTAGTTAATACTTCCTGTTAAGTCTGGGCAAAAGCCATTTATGAAATGATATATTTGCATTTACTTAAAATATATGTAAAATATATTTTAAGTAAATGCAAATATATCATATAGGCAATATAGGCCCTCAGCAAAGATACCTCAAGCCTAATCCTGAATATCATAGAACAACTTGGAAAACTTCAGCGTCTCCGGAAGAAATGCTTCATGCAGTGGATTCCCGCCCATGTGAACCTAGAGTTCAATGAAATAGCTGATTCCTTGGCTAAAAATGCCAGAGATCTCAATCAAAATACAATCCCAACCACATTGACAGATGCAAATGCTTTTGCAAAGTCAAGACTATTCACCCCTTTAAAAATCAAAGCCCACGATCAAATAACTAATNGCAGCTTAGTGGTATCACCATCTTCAGCGACTGCAGGTCTGCCTTACAGGCACTCAGCAAAGGTACCTCAAGCCTAATCCTGAATATCATAGTAAACATCTTGTACAACTTCAGCGTCTCCGGAAATAATGCTTCTTGCAGTGGATTCTCGCCCATGTGAACCTAGAGTTCAATGAAATAGCTGATTCCTTGGCTAAAAATGCCAGAGATCTCAATCAAAATACAATCCCAACCACGTTGGCAGATGCAAATGCTTTTGCAAAGTCAAGACTATTCACCCCTTTAAAAATCAAAGCCCACGATCAAATAACTAATCTTGATATCGATAGGAAGACAGCCACTACTCTCATCAGACTAAGAACAAAACATCATAAAAACATGACTGGCCTTCACCTCTTAAACTACCCCACAGAAGAGGATTTGTATTCATTTAATGCCGAAGAAATAACAAAAACTATTCAAGCACACCATGAAATATGATTCAATAGAGGATACGACACCAACCAACCATATATAAAATATGATTATCAAATTTAAAAATTATTAGCATCTTTCAATTTAGCTTTCAAAAATCATGCATGACACAATTTGAAGAATTATTAAAAAAATAAAAACATAAAACTCGAATTCAAGTCTTGGAGTGGTGTTCTAGCAAACAAAAATGTAACAAAAAAAACGTTGTATTGATACATTTTGACTTCACTGTATCTCTCCTTTTAATAAAATATACTGCATAGTGATACACATATTTCACTCTTAAATTTAGACCAAACTTGAAAATTTGGTATGGAGGGATACTGAATAATTTTCCAATATATTTTCTTCAATAAATACCACATAAAAATTTAGTTACATTAATTATATGAACATAGACCAATTTAACATAGAGATTAATGCATGTAACTGTGTATTAGCTTCATAACTATAATGTTTTAAATGTAAAAACTATAATGTTTGAAATAAAATTTTCAGATATTGTTTGTATATTTAATTAACTTTTAAGTCTTTCTGTGAAAGATATTAAAAATTTTTCTTATCCATACATTTATTTTCTTTGTTACAATGAGTATCCTAATTATTTAATATTCACATAAGTTACTAAAACAAGTTAAAAATTTAGCTCATGTTGTTGATTCCATGAATATTTCACAAAATCTAAAAACTAGTAATAAGAGCTTTAAAATTATTTACTTACTCTTTCTGCATGACTTACTGGTGCTTTCTTTTCAACATTAGAGGCCAATAACTGAGCTCGTATAGATAATACTTTAGTCTTTTCAATCAGTTGTTGATAAGGTGAGAGTTTTTTTGTACCCATTACAACATGACCCTATTTTTTAACCAATATAAATTTATCAATAAAAAATATTACAGAGCAGAAATACATAAAAATTTATTACTATTGCCATGGGCATTGAAGGGATCCAATTTTTGAGGGGGATGAAATTAAAATACACAGTCATAAAAAGCTTTTTAAATTTCACACATAATAAAAAAATATTCTTATGTCTGCTAAATATTGTCAAAAATATTGAATATTTTTATCTCTTTCTCATTTTTAACTTTGATGAATTCAGAAAAATATCTTTAATTGTTTGAAATATTGAGGGGACTTATAAGGATTTCTAATTATCGAGGGGGACATATACCAACGACGCAAATGATATAAACAAATATTTTAAAAGGAAATTTTATCAGTTTCGGGCATTAGTGATTTTAACCAAAAATTAAACCTGGCGAATTTTTACCACAAGAAAGAAACTATGTCTCAATAATAGGGTTTAGCATTTTTTTAAATCATTTGAATTCAATCATGATTTGTTATATTGACAAAAGAAAAATCTAGATAAAGTCCATGAGCCAAGCATTCCTAAAAAACCCACAAATGTATGTTAAGGAATGGAGTGGTTTGAGTCAAATTTGAGCAAAGGGGATAAATTCTTTAAGTAGAAGAGCAAATTCCAATGTTACATTTTATAGATGATTATCATGATTTCTCGAATCAAATCAGCACCAAAACAGTTAGAATCCTGCTAATCATGTTTTTAAGAGGCCTCTCTCTTAGAGGTGATGATTTTTATACTGATTCGTGAAGCAAATTTTGAGAAAGACGGTACATCCACCATCAGTAAATCCTAATTTTAGTCACAATTTAAATCGCTAAATTTTTCTAAAAAAAATCACTGTATTAAAGCACATGAATTTTTTTAAAGTAAATATGTATTAAGGTTCTGATATTTAAAAAAAATCTAATTTCTTTGATAATGAAGGTTTCATCTAGAGCAGCGGTTTCCAACTGGCGGCCCGCGAAGCCCTTTTTTGCGGTCCGCGGACTAAAATATATTAGTTGTAATTTTTTTTGCGGACAATTTTCATAAAAAATCTATATGGGTTTAAAATACTTTTCTCGTTTATAGAAACCTAATTTCTTCGTTTTTGTGAAATTTAACATACCAACGGTGCAAAAAAATTTATTTTCTCGGGTTTTGGATTTAAGAAAATATTTATTCAAATACAAAAATAATGCTGCTCTTTTTTATTTCATTTTTTTTTGTATTTTCTGAATATAATTCAGCATGTGTGCCTCAGAAATTTTCTCGAAGAAATTCTTCAATTTAGCTTTTTGAAACCACTCAGTTTGGACGAAAATACATTTGTAAATACATTTGTACACACACATTTGTAAATTTTTAATTTAAGATGTAAATATCTATTCTCTGGTGGTTGTAGCAGACAAACCTAAATTTTTTCATTAAACATTTTGTGTGGTACTATGTAAGTTTTAATACCAACCTTTTTGAAGTTTTATATCTTAACAATTAGATATCTGTTGCACATTAATTGTTTAATACATAGGTGCACATTAAAGTTATTGTAGCCCGAATTTTTATCATTTATTCAATATCTTTTTAAATATTATTAGTAACAATTAAGTATTTTTAAAAATCTACTTCTTATTTTAATTTGTAATTCAATACTTTTGTTTTGTACAACTTGGTAAAAATCTGACAGTAATATTTAATTTTCCTTCAAACATAAAAGAGTCCTTCATGAAATTTTGATAAAGTTGCTGCCCGCCATTGGATTTTTGTTTTTAATTGTGGCCCCCGGCCTCATGCAAGTTGGAAACCCCTGATCTAGAGAATAAGAAGAGAGGAATAAAATGACTTAATGTAGATAAGAATGGAACGTAACTTATATACTATTGCACTAGATGTAAGCAAAATAGTTTGCTGGTTTAAATCCTACCCATTTAGTTTTATGTTTAGTACAAGTATAAAAGCTATTGAAACTTTTGTGGTTGTTAAAAACACTAATCATGGTTTCATTTATTTAGCATTTGTTAATTTGTGAATATTAATTAACAAATTTAACTAAAATTTTCATTTTGTTGTTAAAAGAATACTAAGTATTGTTAATGCATTTAATTAGAGCTTGATTTGTAATTGAAGGAAAGCAAAAGAAGATGGAAAAAAAATTGATGTTTTTGATTTTTTAAAAAAAAATTTGTATTGTAGTAAAATTGTACAACGATAAAAACATTTCAATTTAAAATTTGGTAAGGGTTTAGTTTTGTCAAGTAACTTCACCATGCGTAAAAAATTATAAATCCATAACTCTATTTAACTTAAGAAAAAAAAAACATTTATTAAATATTTAAAGGAAACAAGTTATAATTTTTTTCTTCTAAAAATTAACATTACCCTCTTAAGATCACATATTTATCGTAATCAATGTTTTTATGCACATCTGTATCATATGTGAAATATATGAATTTTTTGCTACTAGTACATACACAATAAATAAATATAAAGAATGAAACTTAAGAAAATTCGAAAGTATAACAAAGACTTTCATTCTGTTAGTACAAATTAACAAAAAATTAATAGGATAAATGCTTACATATGATTAATATTAAGAAACACGAATAACACTTAAGCTGTCTTACAGTTATTGGTAGTAGGTAAAAAACATAGAAGAAATATTTTATAAATTATTTTAATAGCTAAAAATTTTAATTTAGGAATATTTTTCTAAATGAACTAGATCGAGAACATTAAAATTAGACCTTTCTTAAAATTACTTCTACATTCTTGTATTTAGAATATGAAAAATAAATAGAAATATGAACTAAATATTTAATAAAATAAAGCAGCTTATTTACCAACTGAGAATCTATTTTGGCATCTAATCGGGCATTTCTGATTAAATTAACAATCCATTTCTCTGCATCTTCAGGTGTCATGTTCAGTTTCTCTGCCAGCATTCTACATAAATAGGATACATTTTATTTAAATAAACTATCTGTTAAAAATGTATAATTAGAAGAAAAAAAAAAACGATTTAGAATAACTTTTATTGAATAATAAGATTCTCACACACTAAGATTCAATGGCCAGACTATGAGTGCTAATTAAAAAGTGCTATTTATTTATGAAATCAGATAGGAAAAAACATCTTTATATATATATATATATATATATATA